ATTTATAGTTAAATTTATGTTTTCCTAATTAACATTTGCCTATAAACCCTTGATGTTTTCTTTACAATGATTGCTCTGGGAATAGCATTGCCTTAGAACAAAGTTGTAACACGTTCTTAAAATATTAAAGGCAAGCTGGCAGATCTTTCACACTCTGTCTCAATACTACTGCTATTATCACTTAGTGCTCAACATGACACCATTCCCCAAGGTGATCAGCGGGCAACCCGGTGACATGTTGATTATACTGGACTGCTTCCTTCAGGGGAAGGCCAGTGCTTTGCGTTTCCTGGAGTCAACACCTGTTACTGGCATGGATTTGCCTTCCCTGTGTGTAATGTTTTTATCAAAACTACTATCCATGGACAGACACACAGAATGCCTCACCACCATCGTGCTGTTCCACACTGCATTTCTTCTGACCAAGGAACATAATTTGTACCCCACTATCCAGCAGCTGGAGGGCTGGGGATTTAGCTCAGCGGCAAAGCACCTGCCTGGCAAGCACAAGGTTGTGAGTTCGATTCCTGGTACCAGAAGAAAAAAAAAAAAAGAAACACAACAGAAGCAGATGGATTGATAGAACAATTAAATGGCCTTTCAGAGGTGTAAGTACAGCAACACCTTGGTGGCATTACCTAGTGGGACTGGGGGAAGGTTGTCCAGAAGAATGTACTGTACATGCTTTGAATCAGCCTCATATATATGGTGCTGTGTCTCCAACTACCAAGACTCATGAGCTCAGGAAATATGGTTTTTAAAATATTTTAAAATATTTAAACTTTTGCTTCCTGTTCCTGCATTTTATACTCTGCTGGCTGAGGAGTCTTAGTTCCAGAAGGTTGACAGGGAAGGAAGCCCTTCATGAGAGGCATAACTATAATTCCATTGAACTGGAAGCTAAGACTGCCCTTTGGTCACTATGGATTTCTCATGTCTCTGATTCAAAAGGCTAAAAGGGGAGTTATGGTGTTGGTGGGGGTGATGGGTCCAAATTCTTATGGAGGAATTTGGCTACTACTTCACAAACAAGATAAGAAAGAAAATGTTTAGAGTGCATGAGATCCACTAGAATACCTCATTCCATTACTGTGACCTGTTATTAAGATCAATAGGCAACTATAAAAATTCTTCAAGTGATCAAACCAAATGGGTGACAAATGGCCCAGAACCTTCAGGAATAATAGTTTGAATTACTACACCAGATAAAGACCAAAACCTACTCAAGTGCTTGCTGATGGCCAAAGGAATACAAAATGGATATCAAAGGAGGTGGTTATAAACATCAGCTATGACCATGTGAACATGAAAGAGGATTCTAATTGCCATAAATGTTTATTTTCTATTTTGTTAATATATCTATATTTGGGCCATTATTTCTTCATTTTTTGAGTGCATTCTGGACTTCAGTTACATGTGTGGTAGACTGTGATAAAACAGAATAAATTCCTACACCTCAGTACTTTGTGTTTTCAAACTTTTCTTCTTGTTCTTTAGTTTTATTGATTACTTGTGGTCTATATTCAAGTTCACTCATTTTTTTCCTCTCTTACCTCCTCTTTAACTGTTAAATCAATCCAGTTAATTTTATTTATATTCTATTTGTATTTATATTTACATTTATGTGGTATTTGGTAATAATTTGACATTTTCCATGTCTAAAAATCATATAAGAACATTTCCATCTCTTTAAAGTAAAGAAGTATGGAACATATCGCTGTCCTTATCATGATCTTGTGTTTGAAACCTCAAAGCTATTGTCTGAGGTATTCATAAAGTATGTAGTAAGTCCCGTGCATTGCGCTTAGGCCTGTGTGCTGCAGAAAACTAGAACTGTTACTTTTGCCTCAGCATCGTGGTGTTCATTATCCAAACTCCATTCATCCCTTCCTCTGCACTCTAAGCCTGTGTTAATTACTATTCTCCATCGAGATGGACATTTTAAGATTCCTCATAAGTGGGAGCATGTATACTACTTGTCTTTATTGATCAGATGTATTTCACTTGACAAGAAACACTCTGATTTCAGAAAATTTTACTACAAATAATAAGGTATCACTCTTCTAATGTAAACTATTCCATTGAGTGAGGTAACTACACCTTCTTTATCTATCCATCCACTCATGGATATCTTGACATTTCATATCTTAGTTTTTGTGAATGCTGTAGCCATAAACATGGGTGTATATATTTTGTTTTGGTATACTGATTTGCCTTGCTTTGGGCATAAACCTAAAAGTGGGATAGCTGGATTATATGGCAGATTTTTTAAAAAGTGAAAATACTGTGCATCATATTTCCATTTTCTGATTAGACTCCCCATTTTAAAAATATTTAAAGTTAAATGTTCTTTACAACTGAGATTTATCATGGAACTTAAAATGTTTATTTCAAAATTCCAACCTCTGGATAATGTTGAAGTTAATTTAATTTAACTACATTTTCAATTAGGAACACAACCCAATTTACTGTTCCTTTTTATTTTAGGAAATGTATTTCAATGAAAAATGTGAATTGTACAGAAGATAGGTTATCTGATTCTGTTCTTTTATCATTTTCAAGACATTTTACAACTCTTTAAATTATAGGTAATGCATAGAACTTAAAATTCTTTCTGGTCTGCTAAAAATTCAATTGACTTCCTTCCATCTGTGGAGAAAAACCATTTTTCTCGTATTTGAACATTCATTTCAATATTCCTGATATATCTTTTGAAGAAGTCACATTATCCGTCTGGTCTAATACATGAGTAACATAAAAACTTTCTCAAGTTCATTAATTATTTTTTTATTTTAAAGAGAATAAAAAAACATTTAAAACAATACAGAATTTCAAAACAAGATGATAGGAAATTAACAATGGTTATTATATTGCATATTGTTATCTTCAAAGTAGTTGTTTGGATTACCAGATATAGGCATGCAAAATTTATCAAAAAAGTTAAGCATTAACTGTTTCTTTCAATAAAGCAAAAGAAATTAGTAGTAGAATTGTCTTATTCTTCATATATATATATATATATATATATATATATATATATATATATATATATTTCCTTCCTTCCTTCCTTCCTTCCTTTCTTCCTTCCTTCCTTCCTTCCTTCTTTTCTCCTTTCTCTCATCCCAGTTGTTCTATCTTTTTGAGCAGTGGCTTTACATTTCACAGTATCTATTGTACCTTTCAGATTTTACTTACTCATAATTCAAGTTCTTTTTTATGTCTGTGTGATTCACGATTTTATCTTTTTTAGGAAATTATCTTTTGATACTATCTTAGATATTGTAAGTACAGAGATTTGGAATCTCAGAAATTATTATTTTCTGCAAGTAATATTTTTTTGTTGTTGTTTTTGCAGGCAATTAACGAGGGTGAACACAAAATGCAAATTGTTTTGTGGACTGTAAGTCTCACGTCAGGCCAGATGTGATATCTTTCTGTGAAGAACTGATGTGACACCAACGGCCTCGGAGGAGACGACTGAGCCCTGGACGTGGGTGGGGACTGAGGCTAGCTGTGAGCAGTGGCCAGCCCGAACTTTCTGTGCCCATCATTATTCTTTATGAAGTGTTCTTGGCCAAGGTCCTGGAAATTACCTTAAGATTTTGGCGGGGAGGGGAACCAAAACAACAAAAAGCTATGTGCTCACTGTACAGTGTCACGCTGTCCCTCTACAAGAGCAAATTCTCTGCACATCAGCCATTGTCAGCTTTTTTCTCTTCCTCTCACTTGTTTCTTTGTTAGAAAATGGATGCAAGATCATTTAAAGGAAATACCTTGTAGTCTTACGTTCTTGTCACTGTGAAACATTGAACATCATTCCAAGTGAAAATAAGTTAATCTATAGATGTAAGAATGAACTACCATTTGCTGTAACTTTGTTGGAGCGATCTTCAAGCCTCAGCCATAGATGCAGACAGACTGCAATTTAAGAACCTGTCCCTGGTCTTTCTAGAGGACACAAGATGACTATTATATAATTACCATATGTTGTCATAGATATCTTCTTACTCTGTTTTCAATGTGGCTGAGCTCCTCTGACTCCTAATTATGGCTCCTGAGCCTCGAAACACTGGTCTTTATGCAGCTCTATGCTCCCTGCAGCAGTATGCGCTCATTGCCCCAGCCCCTCAGGTGGGGCAGCTATGGAGCCTCCACTGAAGCTGTCCTCAGAGCCAAGGTTCCACTCCTTTCTGCCTCTGTCCATCCCCTAGTCCCTCAGGTAGATCTATGGTGCCCAAGTCTTATCATTTCCCGTTGGGACAGCCTCAGTGATTTGGAGCTTACTTAACTGCTAGGAGAAATGCCAATCCGAGTATAGTAAGGTTTTGAAAAAAAAGTACATAAATTTCATATACAAATAAGCAGTACACATTTGATTTCTCTTTCATCATAATAATACCTTTACATGTATTTGGAACATATACTTTTTTTTTTTCGTGTACCAGGAATCGAACTCACAACCTTGCTCTTGCCAGGCAGGCACTGTGCCGCTGAGCTATATCCCCAGCCCCTACATATACATTTTATATGTGCCATATTTACCATCCCATTATGGATGTAGTCTAGTATATGACAAAAGTTTAGCTGGGAGTGGCGGCACAAGCCCATAATCCCAGAACTCAGGAGGCTGAGGCAGTAAGATCCTTGCAAGTTCTAAGACAAACCTGGGCTACAAAGCAAGCTCAAGGCCAGCCTGAACTGAACATCAAGACCTTGCCTTAAAAAGACAAAAAAAAAAAAAGTCTAAACATTCCAGTAAAAGAAAGTTGAGAATATTTTACATATGTCTTTAAATTGACAGTAATATAAAACAGTGTCTCAGGAAATAAAACAGGTAAAATTTGAACCACTTTTAAGCTGCTCATTGTCTTATAAGAAAAAAGAAAATAAACTAGTGATCATAGTGAGTAAGAATGGTTACAAATGACATCTTCACTTACAAAAATAAACTCGATTTTTCATGAACTGCTCAACTATATTTGCGTACTTTTGTTACTGACCTTTTCAAAATGTTCTTCTTTCCCTTGGCCTACATCTTACCTTACCTCTTGCCTTAATGGCTTTGTACTTGTCCCCTCAGTGGGACACTGCAGTCTTCACTCACAGGCTCCTGATTTCCATGATGTAACAAACCACAGTCTGTTGCTATGGCAATGATCAGCATCTTGCAGCTGGAGCCGCTGTGATTACAGGTCTCCGGTGCTAGACTCTTTTGCTTTCAATCAGTTTTCAGAGATCCCTTTTGTTCTTCTGCACACTCCAAATTCGGTATTTAATATGCTTTGATTAAGGTTTCAAAGTCTAACCACTGCAGTGATTGGTTAAGTGCCGATGCTTTAATCTGTATTTCTCCTTTAATTGTATTTTTCTGCATATATGAGTGTTTCCCTGAGTCATGATAAACTGGATATTTCTGACACTGAAAAAGCACATAAATCAGTCTTGTATTAGAAAATACGTATATTTTACTTTTTTTTTACATTTGAGCTAAATTATAGGTTTTAAATCTTAATTATATAAACTCAGTTTTGTAGAAAAGTGTCGGTTTGATAATATCTTGATCAAAAATGCAAGCCATGACCCTAAATTATTGTGTTGTTAAGAACAAGACTATCAGTCCACCACATAGCAAACATGAACTATCGTTGTATCAACTTGTATTTATCAGATAAATTTCAATCAAACATGTAGATTGAAAGATTTAATATGTTTATAGATAAAAGCACATATTCTGATTAAAATATACCTTTATTGCTAGATAGATTGAAGAGAAGCCCTTTACTGACATAAATGATAGTTAAATGTAAATATAGATATAGATGCATATAGTTACTGAAAATACAAAGTCATCATGCAGCTTTTCAGTTCTCTTACAAGCCACAAGTTAGAGACCAAATAACAGTGATCTGTGATTTCATTAAAATATTACATCACATGCCAGGTTTTTATAGAAAGTAAGTCATCATATAGGTAACATACTATGAATTTTCTAATTACTGAAAACTCATTTTAAATTTTTCAAATAATATTTAGATCAGTATTTTCCAATCAGGCGGTCTATGAAATGCAAATTTTTAACCTTTTCCACATACATAAGAGGTTTCACTAAACAAAGCTGAAGAATAAATTAACAACCACTGATAAGGGACATCACACAAGTCCCGTGATTTTCCTACTGTGATTTAATCTTGGATTCAATTAAATGTCACCTGGTAATGTAGGTTTCTATTTAAAGCCTAGACTTTATTATATGAATCAAATTATGTTCTTTCTCCAAAATAACTAGGATATCCCAGTTTAAAATGCTATCTAAAGTTCACTAGATAAGAAAACAATTTTGCACACTATTTTCTAGCATTGTACACCTAAAACACCTTTTGACAACTGCTAATATATATATATACACACACAATATATATATATATATACACATATGTATATAGTTTCAAAAATCATGAATATGGTAGATTAATCTCAGGCCCCCGTTTATCGGTCCTCAAATTTGTACAGTGTCAAGTAAATATAAAGGACTGAATTCTATTCATAAAAGAGTCTATAGATTTAACAGAAAAGAAAAAAGTGTATTCATCTTTCACACTACTCTGCCAAGAACATGATTTTTAAGCTTCAGAGTACTAAGTATTACAAGTTTAGGGGTTTACTGTAAAAACACACATTTTTATGTTCATTTCCTTTTCAGATGCATTCTTTATTTTTCTTCAGTTTTTATTTTTTATTAGTATATATTCGCAGCAGATAAAGACCACATTCCATGTGGGGAACTGACACAGTACAAGTACCTACTATGTCTCAGTTCTGTCTTTATCCTCTTCCATCTCCTGGCTCATCCCTCCCTGCACCTCTTGGTCTTCTTCTCATCTGCAGAAAGATCTATCAAACCTTAGTCAGAATGCAGTACTGTATACCTCATGCTGGACACAATTCTGCTTCTCTCTTTCTTTATTTGCTCTTTTTCTATATCTCATTTTTGGGTGGTGGGGTCACCAGGAATTGAACTCAGGGCCTTGAGTTTGCCAAGCAGGCACTTCTGCCACTGAGCTATATCCATGGTGCTCTAAATCTCATTTTCAAAAAAGGATCTGCTAAATTCACTTAATGCCCCCAATCCATAAGCAATAACTAATATGTTGTCTTTTTATTTCGTTAGAAAATTTTAAATCTTACTTCACAGCAAAGAGATTCTGATTGAGAGTGGTCCCATGGTGGCCATGTTTAACCCTTAATGTTACTCTGCCTATTCACAGCCTCTGCTTCTGGTAAGGCAAATGCTAGAATTAGTGAGCCACCCACCAAAAGTGAAATAATAATTATTGCACATTGTTGTGTTCATATTAGAAGATCTTGTGCTTGATCAATCAACCAGTATTCATACTATACTCCTTATGACCCTAGCAGTTTACTGCATGTATCAATGAGCATATATTTCCTAGCAAGGGAGCACATATTTTGGAGATAAAACACATATGAATGCGACCTAAAGCAAAATATTTAACTTTAATTGAAACTTACAGATGAGGTAGTTTACACTGATGCGAATGTATTCCTATGGAAAAAAATGACAGACTTTAAAGACAGCTGGCATGAACCATAACTCAGTAATGAACACAAGGGAAAGTGAGCAAGCTAAGGCAAAGGGCCAGTCACTACATCACATTATACAAATGTGATTTCACATATCTATTCTACATGGGGGCACCTCTTTTGAATGTCAAATGAACTGATCTCTAATTAAAAAAGCATTTTTATGGAAATTAGCTAAACATTTTAATAAGTACTTTATACTTTAAGTAAAAATGTTATATTCTTATGCTTATTATTCACTGCCAATTTAAATACTTTGTAAATTGCACTATCAGATTTCAAGTTTAAAATATTATGAAGCAAAATTTCTAATAAATGTTTAGCTGTCTTACAAGAATTGGATTTAACATGCTTCTCAATGATGGCATTTCAGTAAGTACCAAATAACATAAAGTCTTCTAGAAAACTCAAAAGACAACAATGCTCATCACTTATTTCAGAAGCATTATATCAATTCTCAAAGATGGGTGTGAAAAATAGTGTAATAGGCCAAAGAAAAAATTTGAGCAGCTGTTTATGATTATGTAATTCTTAGCAACTTCACTTTGTATTTTACACAGAACTGTGAATTTGTGTTATTTACATCATATATTACTTTATGAGTACATTTAAAGAAGTTCTAAATAAAGAAATTATATTCAAACTAAGGAAAAAATCTCCAATTGATAAAAAAATTGCTAAGATTCAAACACTTTAATGCAGTTCAATGTCCTAAAGTATGTTTGAAAATTGATTTACTAATATTATATATTGCATCAGATCGGCTTTTAGAGGTTTTACAGTTTAGTAAAAATACAGACAGTTGGATACAATGGATACAATGATAAAACACCTAGACATCATTCTTGAGAAATTTGCCTTTCTATCACCTATTTACCTTTAAAATAGATCCTAGCAACTGTATAAATGAACTTATAGAATACAAACTTGTAAATTCAGTTGGGTATATACATTCAAGTTCTTTTAAATGAAGGCATCAAGTAAGTAGTATATGGACTGCAGAGATAAATTCTAGTTTTCTGTGGAAATATTTCTTGAAAATAACACCAAAAGTAAATATGACTTAGTTGGCTGACTTTATTAAACAGGGAATTTCATAAATATGAAAATTTGTGGTTTTCCCAGTACCTTATCTAATAATTCCTAAAACAAGATTACACTAGTTTCTAAAAGGATTGATTTATCTGGAGTATTTATTATTCCTTTTGATTTGATCCTAAAATCACTATGGTAATGCCAAACTACACACTAACCAAGAAAAGCTATCTGCTGGGTGTAAAGCATTTTGGATTACCCTCATTGAACTTTAGCTGACTTGACCCAAAATTATAACATGTAATTTGACCCCCATAGAGCAGCTCTTCTGTTTGGGAGTCACAAGTTCTTTCAAAGTTCATGTTTCTGAACTCATCACAAGTGTGCTGAGTGAAGGCTCAGCACACTTTAATGTATTAACAAAGTCATTAATAGCAGCTGAGCTGAAAATAATCATGGGATTTGGAAGAGGAGCTGTCATCCCCAATCAAAATAAGCCTTTTCCTATTTTGCTCAAAATTATTAATTCCAGTATCTATCAATCTATGCAAAAAATTGGAATGTGCTATACAATTTTCTTCTCAAGAATATCATGGGCAGGGGCTGCGGATTTAGCTCAGCATCACAGTGCCTGCCTGGCAAGTGCAAGGTTGTGAGTTCGATTCCTGGTACAGAAAAAAAAAAAAAAAAAAAACAATATCATGGGCATACTCACAAAGAAGTTTACAGATAATTGAATTCATTATGCATTTGAGATATGATTACTGATATCATAAATCTCCATATAGAATGGAATTTAAGCAAAGCATGGCTCAAACAAATTTTAAGAGCAAGTGTAACAGTAAATTCAAGTCAGTGCACTATTGTGTTTATTCAGTGTAAATTTTAATGCAGAAAAAGTACTTCAATTTAAGTTTTATATTTTAATCTTTTAATTGAATTTTGCAATGGCTACAATACATTGAATCATTCAGTGTGCCTAATAGTTACACTAGTGGACTCAGAGAACTCTCCAAAATCCCCACCTATTCGTACTCGTACTGTACAAGCTCCTTCATGAAGGGTGAGACTACACTAACTTAGTCCAAGCGATTAGAATATGGCAAATGTATAGGGTATTCTTCCCGTGGTTACCTAACATGACATTGCACCTTCCTCCCTGCCAGCCTACTCCCTGCCTTGGTAGACCAGATGTAGTAAATCTTGTTGAGAAGGCTCCTCGGGCAAAGAAACTGAAACTGGCCTTAGATCAACATCCACATAGGGACTCTAAGCCTCATCCCAACAGACCCCAAAATGAATTATGCCAATAACTACGTGAAACTGGAGGAAGATCCTGCCCCAGTTGAGAAATCAGCAAATACCCCAAGCGCAGTGACAGCTTCATATGAAACATAAGACACCAACTCAGTCTAAACCAGGCCTGGACTTTGA